GGAGGAACCCCCCCCACCCCCCCCCACGAACCGTCAGCCAGAACCAGGCTGTGTGCTAGTGGGGGTGCTCGCGGGCAACAGTGAGGACGGCCTGGTGTGTCCTTACGGGTTCCATGCCTCGGGCCATGAACAGCTTTGCGGCCGCGTCGACGAAGCAGTCCAGCTGCTTGCCGGTAAAGGTTTCGTAGTCATCAACGGTGCCTGGTCGAGGGTACCCCAGAATGGGGACGGGAGGGTCGTCGGCTCCGCGGTGGCGAATTATGTCGTCCAACATCTTCAGCTCTCCGTATTCATCGTACAGTCTCCTGATGTGCTCTTCAGTCATCCGAGGCATCCTTGAGGTATGATACGATATGGGCGCTATGGTATACCAACAAGGCCGACAGGAGATGGCGTGCAATCGGAAGGGAGGGCGGCAAGAACCCTAGACACTCAGGGGCCGGACAAGGAGGCTGTTTATGAGGCGACAAGCCCTCGGCGGGCTTTGGACCTCTGCCAAGGCGCCCTCCCAAACGCAGTTCGCCGCGACAACGCCTTCGCTGGGCGGGGGTTGTCATCCCTTTTATTCATCGCATCTTCCCCCGCCGGGGGGGTGAAGTCGGCAGGTCGAAAGCTTGATTCTACCTCATACCCTGCCCAGCCCACAAGGCTTCAAGAGACGAAAGAGGCCAGAAAGTTTTTCGGGGCAGCCGAGTTGGTCTTCCTCGAGCCTTCGGACGGAGATTCTGCAAAGATAGGGACTGGGCCGTGCGCCCGTTTTACCCCCGCAAGCCCCCGACCGGGAGGCTTTTTTTGTTTTCTTCCTGCCTTGTTGGAGAGGCTTTCGGTGGCTACCCGTTGAAACTAGAGATTTGAGGCCATAGGGTGGCGTGGAAATGGAGCCTCGTCTTCAAAACGTCGTTACCTGGCAGCATATCACTTCGATAAAGAGGAGGGTTCGTCGTGCCGGACCCGCAGGTTCCCGATACTCTGGCTGGGCCTCTGATCTTGGCTGCGGGTATACCCTTTGCCAAGCCGCGACGCGAAGATCCAGACACCGATGACGGCAAGGCCACACTCCCGGGTCTTGTGAGCGTGTAACCACGCTGGCGATGGGTCGCTACTCTGGGCCGGTAAATCCCAGTGGATGATGGGCTAGCGTGGCATAGACTCTGGTGCTGGATCGGCAATAGGTCTCGCGCCCGGGAATAAGTTCACATGCAGGAGCGTGCCGCGTCCGCGAACAGAGAGCTTCAGAGGCTGTGAAGATTCTTGTCAGCGCAAGAGACCAAAAGTAGTGGTAGCTTCAGGACGGACACATCAACCAGCGACACGAGGTAGCAGAAGCACGAGGTCATAGAATCAGAGCGCAATCAGATGATATTGCGGGTATCAAGTCTTCACTCCTTCTCAAATCTTGACTAACCGGACGAGAAAAAGAAACGCCCCAAAAACCAAGCAATGTCCGAGCAGAAGTTCCAGGCATAACAAGAAAAAGAAGAAGAATAAAAATAAAAATAAACCAGCCTGGCCGATGAAAATGGCAAAGGCGCGAAACCAGCGCCGTGCTATGAAGGTACATGATTCATGAAATAAACATTGAAGGACTAAAAGGTTGATGTAGAAGTAAAGGGGAACAGCCGTCAGGAAAGGGTTCCTCAGGCGAGGCTCCTCCAGAGACTCCGGCGCTTCCGGGAGGGCTTCATCTCTCCATGCTCGATGAAGTACTCGACCTGCTCGCGCTCGTCGTCCGGGAGGTGCGCGATGCTGTCGTTGAGCAGATCAAGACATGCCCTGGAAGCTATTTTTATTGAACCAAAACAGGCGTTAGCAAGGTGGTTTCCATTTGTCGCTGCTTTGAGTTGGGCGCATCACTTCTGCGTCTTGATTTGCTGTGCAAAGGCTTGAGGAAAAGACATCAAGGCCTCGACGAGAAGAGCGGGCTGGTATGACGTGGCACAGCATGAGCGCTGAAGATGACGATGGCGTCCTGGGACGGCCTCAGGGGCTAACTTTAGCCTGGGGGACGGGAGCCAAGCACACCTCGCTGTCAAGCACGCGCGCCAGCCAAGGTTTTGGCTGCCCCCCTCTTCCCGAGTGTGGCTTTGACATCACCACGCAACCCCTGTCCGTGCATTATGCTGTAAGCAGACCCCGTGCGCAACCGCTGAGTGGTTGCGCCACGAAAGTGCCTAACAGACCCCCTGCCGTTTTGGGCAGTCGGGAGGGGGCGATTGGCCCAGTGCCAGGAATGGAGGAACCAAAGAAAAAGGAAGAAAAGAGAGAGAGAGAAAAGAAAAAAGGGACGCGACTTACGAACACGGCTCTGCAGGGCCTCGTCGTCCAGGGCGGCGCTGATGCGGGCCGAGTTGTAGCAGCCAAAGACGCGCTGGACGGCCAGCATGCGGCGCCAGAGGCTCAACGAGTCCATACCGGCCGCCAGCGGGTCCGAGGCGGAGGCGGCGTCGGGGCCGTTCAGGTAGCAGAAGCCGGCGCCGTCGTCCAGGCTGAAGCTCGGGACGTCCGGGTTGGAGTCGGCTGGGGACACGGCGCGCCGCTTCCGGCGGATGGCCTTGCTGCTGCTATTCCTCGTCTCCTCGACGGCGGCGGCGGCGGCGACGATGGGTCCCGCGGGCGTGATGGCGTCCTCGTCGTCGCTCAGGGAGGCGGATGATGCCCTCGAGGTGGCGCAGCTCGAGAAGGCTGACCGGTACCTGGGGTGGGCTGGCCTTGATGCCATTGTGTGGGTGTATGTGATGTGGGAGTGGCGGTGTTGGTGAGGATATGCTGTTGCGAGGTTAAGCAACCGAGTCGATGTCGACAGTTATATGAAGCGAGTTGGGAACTGCAAGGCGGGGCGTGCGTGGAGAAGGGACAAAAGCTCCGGTGCAAAGTCGGGGCGATCCTGGACTCCTAATATACTTCTTTGGGAAAGGGATATGATGCGCCCGAATGGGTGCGTTGGGCTGGTATCGATGCCCCCTTTTTTTCCCTATTCGTATCTGGGGCTACCACCCGTCCGGGGTTGACCAACAAGGCCAACGAGGTACGTAACAAAGGGAGGCTGTTTTCGTCCAGCCAAAGCTTGGCTAGTTGTCACACTGGAGGCTTGTCGATTTGGTGCGCTGGCCAAGATCGGGCAGGCCACCAAGTTTTTATTCTCGAGCTAGGAGCTAGCCAAGGGCGCAAATCGAGACGAAGGGGTATGTTGTGGCACCAGCAGACCAAAAGCAAAAAAAAACATCGAATTGGAAATAGGGGCTAGTGCTAAGGGGGCATGCAGCCTAATATACACGGCCTCTCCGTCTCCATTACAGGAGCAGGTTTTTCTTCTTATTTTTTTTTATGGTGCGGCTCGATGGTAGCACCAGGCTGGAGACGGACCCTCACCCATTCAATTCCACCAGGCCACGGCGGCACGGGAGCAAACGCAGATAGAGGTCGGGTCAGGTCCCATCGGGCATGCATCGTCCACTGCGGGCCTGAGTCAGAGCATGGGTGGATAAGCAAGGCGGTACGTACCCCTCTATGCGATGGAGATTTGTAGGTATTGAAGAGGGGAAGGCAGAGGAGAGAGAGAGAGACAAAAACAAAAAGTCATCACATCGACGCAGCAAAGTACATGCCCTCCCCCTGCCGCTTACCCACATGCTGCAAACGGATTGCCTGCTTTCGGGGCCGTGGGGGCGTGTGTCTGTTCTGTCTGTCTGTCTGTCTCTGGCTGTTGACCAATGTCCATTCGATTTTGGCCCCCTGCCCGGCACGCCCTGGGCCGCGAGTCCCCGCCCAACTCCCGGCGGTGGATCCCAGCAGGCCACCGGACCATTCAAGGCGACCCCCCCTGCCTTGGATCTGCTGTGCCGTGCCTGCCTTATGCTTTTTTTTTTTTAGTGAGCCCTGACGTGGAGGTTCTGGGCCTTGCTGCTGGAATGGGGCTACACAAGCATAAAATATCAAAATTACCACCCCCAATGGCACAAGCAAAAAAAAACAAAAGAAAAGAAAAAAGATCATGCGGCTCGCCTCCTGGAGCTGACTTGTCTTGCGATAACAGGCACGGCCGCAAGGCTAGGTGCGTGCTACATCCATGTCTAAGACAGTGGCACGAGCCGCTACAAAGTTTGGCGCGAGCTCGTTCTTCTCAAACTTGTTAGCGGCGGGGGAAGTGAGCGAGAGTGTGTTCGTTCCCTTTCTGTCACTTTTTCTTGTCCCCTTGTTGGCAACTTTGACCGTCGTCCTTTAAACTTTGGACCCATTTGCTTGGCCTTTTGGAGGAAGGGGGCTGCTTCGCACGTCTTATTACACCGGGCTGCGTCTGCGTTGGCATCATACCATCAGCGTCAGCCCGCGCCCCCGACTCCATGTCCAAAGTGCATGCCCAAAGTACATGTAATGCAGCGCTCAGTGCTGTGCGTTTGCGTTTGCGTTTGCGCTTGCCAAGCCAACATGAACCTCTTCGAACCGGACTGTGGAACACGGTGGCGGCAACAGGTTTGGCGGCGCCGAGACCGCCTCGGTGTCGCCAGCGTTTTTCGCCGGCACTTGCACCCGCTTCCAGAAACGAACGATTGGAATCCCAGGAAACGAAAAAGGCGGTTCCGCAGTCAGCCCATGAAACAGTGGGAACATGCATCGTAATGGCTCAGTAAAAGAGGAGGG